ACTCTTTCATTTCCACTTAACAAGATGTTTGACAACATACAGTACATTATGCTATATGGGGTTGGGGGCAGAGCACTGTATTATTGACCTAATCCATTAAAGATAGTATTTCTTTTCTTTGCTTTTAATTCAGCATTATCTTCTCTATACCTGTTTCTGTTTTTTCAGAAAAATAATTCTCTCTTCTTGATAAAGCTCAGGCCTATCACAGAATTATCAGCTCATGTGCTTTTACATATAAGGTTATATTTTCAACTTCACATTTTAATTGGCTCCTAATGAGCCCATTCCACATCATATCATCACCAAAAAAGGTGTTTCCAAATCTTTTGTGAACACTAGGTGAATTATTGTCCCCCTCCTTCTTCAGAGGTATATGTAACAAGGATTTTCACATTTATATGTTTTAACTGAATGGACTCCAAACAAACTGGAAAAATGTGGGGTCTTGTACTGATCATCATGGGAGGTCATCTTGAAGTTTGTGAGTAAAAAAATGTTTGTGAAGAAAATACTTGATTTGTTTAGATGTGCTGTATATTAGAAATATTACATAATGTGCCACGTTAATAGTTTACTGAATTATAATTTGAGATATTTCTATCTATAGTTTACCAATATTGTACAACTACCATAAAAAGATATTTGATAGCACTGCTTCATTATTTTTTATAATAAGGTTATGTAAATACCTTGCCTTTTCAAGATTTCCTATTTGATTTTTATTCTGAGAAAGCATCTTTTAAAAATCTTTATAGATGAGAATTTAATGTAAGAAAAAGTTAGTTCAGTTGATCTCATTTTTAAAGAAAAGTGGTCTTTAAAAATGTTATAATAAATAAAGACATAAACAGCACTCATTCATGAATGTGCTTCTCAGTAAATTTTAGAACTAAAAAAAACATGAAACTATTGATGAGAGAAGTCTTAAGAAAAAACACATTTGTATGAATCTAAAAACTGGACTTGCTTCGAACAAGGATTCAGAATCCTTTAATTTTCTTCTAAAGCTGTTTTGCAGTTACTCATTTCCCACTAAAATACTACATATTCATTTTTATTTAGTAATTAATATTTTATAGTATTTAATATTTTATTTAAATACAATTTTACATTAGAATAAAATAACATCTCTAAAGTTTTATATTTTTTATCCTCACTTAATGTTAAAATACAAAATATGTTAAACTGTAAAAAATGTCGTACTAAGAATCAGATGGAATATATCAGTACTGTATATCCATTTGTAAAATATTAGCACTTAATCACTTTATGTTTTCTATTTGATTTTCAAAAGAAAACAAAATAATATTATGTAAATCCAAAATAAATTATACTTATGTTTTGTTATCATATATTTTGTAATTCCTAGAAACTCTATACCCAATGGAAATGTAACAAATGTATTTGCTTTTTTTCAGTAGAGCCAGTTTTTCTCTCCTATCTAAAAACATTCTATATTCTGTATTCAATTTCCAGACCTTTCATTTGAATACATGTAGTTTTCACATTTAGTTACAACAATTATTGCTTGCTAGGAAATATTCCAGAAGAATGATCATTGGAAATTTAGTGCAAGTGTTTCCAACAGTAGTCCTGGAGAGTCTATCTCTGAGGAAATCTAGAGGTCTTTCAGTAAAAAATCAGAATATCCTTCAGCCTTTGATCAATTGCTAAATATATGTTCTTAATAATTAAACAACAGGTGATATAGGGTGACCTATAAAAGGATAAATGGATTGAAGTGCAACACACATGGTAGTTGTGTGACTTGTGTTGAAAGTTATGATATAGTATTAATTTGTTGCTGTTGTACTGTATAACTTGTCACAGATACTTTACTTAAAGTACATGTGTACAGGTACTGTACTGAAAGGGGTAGTATTATTATTTTTATCTCTCATGAGAGTCTTGATTATCCCCAAGGAGCATTTTTTAATGAACTTATATAAAGGTTGTTTGAGATTGATGAAACATTAGACTTTAACTTTGCTTCTTTATTCTTTTTTTAAAATGTTGCACTAATGCTCTTTCTTTAGTTTTAGAATACATCATCACAAAAAATTTATTGTCTTCTGAAAAATCTTTCGCTATTGCTATCTTTCTTCAAAGTCTTCATGGGCTTTGAACACTGCACTGCACTATTGGTCACTCTGAATAGATGCGTAATTTAATTTTCTCTGTCACTATTAATCCTGCATTGGCCTCACAACCACTCCTGATGCTGTTCCAGTCGCAGAGTGACCAATAACCAGGGTGCAATACCCATGGTCAACCCCGACCAACAGAGGCCTAGACATCACTATTAAGTTTAATTACCTTTTTAAATGTCGATACTGTGCTAGTAATTAGTACGTTATTGCTAAGATTCCCAAGCATTGCAGAAGCTTCAAAGAAGATTTAAAAAGATTTAAATAGAATTCACCCACTGAACAGCCAATGCAGTTTCAGTTTCTACTAAACTGAAGCAAGTGCTGTAAGGGAGAAATTAGATTGTACCTTCTGTGCTCAAAATTCTGATAGAAAAAGAAGCTGAAACTTGGGTCTTAAAGTCTCAGAATACAGTGATGTCTTGACCTGGCCTGGTTAGCAGTTTGAGAACATGATGTTTGACATTTACGCAGAAGAACTGTGTAATCTTATTTCTATGTCTCTGGACATGTCAATCTGCAGCAAGATTTTTGGATCCTTGTAGATAAAGAGAAGTACAGCATGCACACAAATAACATGGAAAGAAGTTTCTGTGTTTGGTTCAACATACCTGTGCAAATCTGCTTTTCTGACATGAACCTCATCAAAAGAAATTTCAAACATATCTGACTGACAAGCATTGAACAACTTCACCTGAGTTTACTTCTCAGGCTATAAAGATGCAGCCAGTGTGTGTGGAGACAGTCAGTATAAGGTTGTAGTTTTGTTTTTTTTTATTAATCTGATGTGGAAGTACACTACGCTGTAAAACTGCCAGGCTGTTAAATGATTCCTTAAGGTACTGCAGCTAGTGTGGTTTCCAGATCGAATCAAATCTCTACTTTCAGGTCAGTAGAATATTAAATGTTAATTTAACTTGTGCTAATCATACTGCATGTATACTGTATAGTGACAGTTTAATAAATACAATGATTACATTGTTGAGACTTGATGCTTTTATCATGTTGCAACCACCTCTAAATGAGATACATTATGTCTTAGTGTATTAATTATTATTAATACACTACACTACTATTAATACACATAGTTTATTAATGATATTAATTATCATTTTTAATTGCATACAGTATACAAAACAATTTAATTTTAAATAAAGTGGTGTTAAAACATTGTACAGTTTTGTATTTAAAAGCAAATTAACATGAAAACAAAAAGAGTCAAGATTAAAGTAAACATTTTGAATAGTAATTTGAATTACATTGCTGCAAACTGAGTTGTAGTTGTAGCTGATACAAGGTGCACTATATTTAGATCAATATATTGTTAATTTTACTATTTGCTATTTACAATATGCACAGCTTTGGATATTTTAATTTAAATATAACATTTTAATATAATTATAGTGATTGCTTGCAAAACAGTGGTGTAAATAAAGGCATCTAAATAAAGGCAGTCTGCAAGAATGAAACTAATACTATACTGTAGTTGATGTGCAGTATGGATATCTGTAGATATTAGTTCATGGGGTTCTGTAATGTGTGTGGCACGTTGTGAAAAGTAATTTTTTTGGTCCATATATTCTGCTCACATCACCAAATTATAAAGTATGTGCTGTGAAGGACACACTTCCTATACCATTTTAAATAGACCTTTAAAATACTAAAAATACTATTATTTAGAAATGTAAAATTAATAAACGCCACTCACAAAATACAAAAGTATTGTAAATACACATGCCAGACAGTAGACAAAATATATAATAAAGCCTTGGGAGACAGCATGAGTGACAAATTTATACCTTTGTGTTTAACACTATGTAATAGTTTCTGAAAAGTGGGAAAAAAATGTCCTTGTCATTAGCTGCACTGCAGTCAGTTAGCGGGTTCCCAGGTCATGGAAGTATTTCACACTATTGTGGATCACAGTTTGTATTGTGTTTAATATCTAATTCATTCCCTATACAAACGGTGATGCACCAACATACCGCAGTAAATTGACAGGTAAAGTAAAAAACCTTTCATATTTTTTAAGTTATCTGATGCAGGACTATGCACCCTGTAAAACTGCCGGTGTTGCAGTCTTTAATGTAAAGATCCAGCCATTCAATCAAATGTATTCATTTTAAACTGTGTATTACAGTATGTTAAATATTAAATTAATTAACGGTAGGTCTATTTGATAAAAACAAAATTAGTTGTATATATAAAAATACTTTATTATTAAGATTAAAGATTAAATCACTTTATTGGCCGTATTAAATTTTTTTGTATTGAAAATTTGTCTTTTCACATACCCCAGCTTGCTCTTCATGAAACACAGACAGGGAGAGAAGCTTGGGGTTAGAGCACAGGGTCTGCCATTTATACAGCACCCCTGGGGTTAAGGGCCTTGCTCAGGGACCCAACAGAGTAGGATATCTCTGCTGGCTGCAGGATTTTAACTGGCAACCTTCCAACCACAGGTGCAGATCCTTAGCCACAGAGCCACCACACTGCCTGCTACAGTTTGTATTATTATACTGTAGCTTGTGAACGTGATGTGCTTCTTTCAGGTTTACATCTGCATTGAGAAATTGTAATGATAAATTTTGGTAGAGGAAAATAAAAACAGATGTATAAAGTAATATACAGTATACCTAATGTACATGCAGTAGATGGTAGTGGTAGCTAAATATAAAAAAGCACACAATAGTATTCCACCTTGTTCATGAATATTTTATGCACCAAATTCTTTAACTTGGTAACTTACGGTGGGTGTTTCGGAAAGGTTTTAACATGCTTGTTCTAACACTACAAAGTTTATATACTGTACTTCATAAAAACTATAATGTTTTATCCTTTTCTAAGAATATGGACAGTGGTAAGAACACTACTTGTTGTTATTGTAAAAAAGTTTAACAGACATTACACCTTCAAGTGAGCCAATGACGGATAGATACGGACAGTTTTGTTTGACGCTTATTAAACTCCAAGATCCTGACTTGAGCTGGACTTGAACTACAAAATCCTCCATAACACTGCTGTAATTCAATGTGTAATGTGTACACCTGGTGTGTGTCTTCTCCCAGTGTTTTTTGAAAATGGCCTTTTTTTCACAATTAAATTAATCACAAATCTTCACTGAACTGTGCTGTGTCTCCTTTCATCCCTACAGCTGCCCACAACAGAGTTATAAATGTCAAATTAGTTAGTACTGTTATCTGCTAATATGTAGCCCTCCTCCTGCTTCCACTTCTGGCTGCTCTTCCCATTGTCTTTTGCTGTCCACCAGTTCCAATTCTTCACCATCACCAACAGTCAAAGCTTGTTGAACTCTTTGGGATGAAAATTACTATAAAAATCGAAGGTACTATAGAAGTTATTCCTCATTGGAGGAACACAGGCAGTGCTTTCAAAGCAGAGTAGTTTCATTCCAGTCCTTGAGAGTCTTAAGAACATAATGAATTAAACCCTTCATGATAGCTCCAACTGGCCATGATGTAACTTTCCTTAGAAACTAGCCATCTTAGGTAGCTGAAGTCTCATTTACCTGCACAAATGACTCCTGCATCCCAGGGGTGTTGACAGTCCTTGGAGCCCAGACGTCCAGCCCTGCACTCTCCCAGTTCTGCC